CAATCACCACTAGTCCTGCGAGAGCCCAATCATCTGTCAGAATGCAACTCTTCAAGTTTTCCAGAACTGGGGAAGCCGTTTGTGTTGAGGACGACATGCTGGCCCGTCCCTGCTGGAATTAGAGTGGGGAAACCAGATGAGTGTCTGATACTTGTCTACCTTCTCTACTTCCTCAACAGATATATGCACACACATACCCTTTACACACTTACTAGCATTGTTCTTTCAAAAGGTGTAGTCACTCTTTAGAGAAACCAATCCCATGAACATAAACAGAATATAGAACACCAAAGAACTGTCTAGTGGTCTGTGCCAGAGAAGATTCTGCCCTTAAAATTCTGTTCAGGAATTAATTATTCCAGCAGTGGGGTTTTATTTTACCAATATTTTAGCAGTGTCTGCTGGTGCAGCTACAGTCATGGCTTTGTCAGAATCTTCAGTATAAGGATTGTATAGTCCTGGATGTAAAAGAAATATAATAAAAATCAATGACCATAGCAAGTCTGTCAGAGCAGAAGACATTTTGAACAAGATCCTCAGCAGTGGTAAATCAGGATAGCGCCACTGAAGTCAGTTGAGATACTCCGGTTTACACCAGTTGAGGATGTGGCCCTTTTAAAATAAAAAGTTAGGCTCTTAAGTCATGGGAGTACACCAGACATGGACATATGCTCTTGTACCCCTATAGCAAAAGCAATCTGTTCTGCAGGCACATTATCAAATGGGGGATTAAACCTTCTTGTCGTTTAATACAAAAAGAGAAGCAATTAGAACAGCCAAGCTACCTCCATGCAAACGTTTCTCCTTCTGCAGGTGTAGTTATGCACAGAGTGTTAGTTTTAGCTTTTCCTCCCGTTTTTGACCCAAACCTTACCATTTCTTTAACAGTACCACATGCATGTGTGCACACGCACACTTTCTCACTAATGGTGTTAAACTGCAACTAAAATATTTTTATTTTATTTTATTGACATAATTTACTCTGGAGTCTCACTAGGCTCTACACGCTTGCTCATTCAATGCCATCTTGCCCGTTGCCTTGCTCACAGCCATGCTGTTACACCATTTAAATAACATCTGACATCTCTTTGCAAGAAGCTTTAATGCTTCCCTGCTTTATACACCTCAGTGAGAAATGAAAGGATGGATGGATTATTCCTCCTTCCGTCAGAGCGACTGCTATCCTGACCTAATACAAAGAGTGGGGGAGAGGGAGACAACACCTCGCTAAATTATTTCAGTCTACTTATACCTGTACTAGCCCCCTCCCGTTGCATTTCTGCCCTTAATACTGCATGAAAGGAAAAGGGTTAGACAGTGTGAAGTTAATTTCACCCTCACAAAGCGGTGCCCGCTAGAATCTCAGAAACACATTACAGTTGTTGTTTGTTACTTCTGCCCCAGCAGCCAAAGTATTTGGATAATGCTTTGGTTTTTGGAATCACAGCAGATCATTTTAACAGGGTCCTTTATAACTCTGCAGTTAGACATGTAGTGACAAAGGGCCTGTCTGGATAGTTCACCCCTGAGAAAGCTGCATGCAGACCCTCTGGGACAGTCTCCTCGCCCTCTAAAATAGTGACAGCATCGATCGCCTCAAAATAGGTCTCCTCCAAGCCCGAGGGAAGAAATACAGTCTGACTGGATACCCCAAAGCTGCCATCTTTCCTCTGAATGCAGTCAGCCTTGAAACGAAGTAGTTGTGGATGGTTCCACTATTACCTGAAGCTGCTGTGGATGTAGCGTATGTGCCTTCTGCCACTGGTGCCTTCTCTGCAGAAGATCCTGGCCTGCTGAGAGGTCCCTCTTCAGTGTGCATGGGAAGGGCGGACTCTCTGTGGGAATTGCCTGTTTGTACTTTAGTAAATTATTAACAATGGTGGCAATGTTTTGTGTCTCCCCTGCAGACTTTCTGGAAGGGTGGTGAGGCTTATCTGTGGCTTGTCTGATTGTACAGTTCAGAGACATGGTTTGCCCATGACTCAGCCACTCCCAAGCCTTATTTGTGTCTGTGTGTGTTTCAATTGGAGTAGTCCTGCTGGAAAGGTAGTGGAGGGAAATGGTAGGTATCATGTATCCAGCCCTTGATTGCAGTGTGACTTGTGATTAAAAGCTGTGGCCCCTGATCAATGCTGTTACTCCTTGATCTATTTGATCAAGCACCAGCCAGTGAGAGAGCCTGGGGGGTGGGGTATGTTGGCAATATGAACCTCTTCCCCAAAGGAGTAAAACATTCATCACTTTGGTAGAGACCTAGAGTTGCTGCCTTTAAAAGTTTGTCCTGGCCATGGGCCAAATTGATTGGATCAGGTTCAGACATGGTGTGAAGTTGAGTTGCATATGCATGCACCAGGTCTGAATTTGGCCATGTTTGTCATCCCATCATGATGCAATGTCCTGACTCGATGCTGTGCTGACTCCAAAGGATATTTTTGAACATTTCAATGTCGTGCAAGTCTTACTTGTATGATGTGAGACTGTCATAGGAACCAATGCGACAGGTAGCAACCCTTCCTCTCTATAATTCATCCCACCGATCTTTTTGCTTTATGGTCTCCACATGACACTGATTGAATCAAACATCTTTTCTTTCCTCCTTTCCATGCCTGCATCTTGCTGCAGGCATCCATTCCAACAAAAAACCTTCCTGATACTTGAGAGGGCCTGCTAGTTCCTGTAGCTGCTGGGTCAGGTGGTAGCTCACAACCTCACTCTTGGTGGAGGGGATTCGGCTCTAATCTCTGATTTATGTACAGGAGTCAGTATCCCAAGCTCAGTTTAGAAACAGAGGGCATGTCTACAATGCAGCCCCTACAGCGGCACAGCTACAGCACTGTGCCACTGTAGCGCCATAGTATGGGGATGCTTCCTACGTGAACAGAAGGTGTTTTTCCCCTTCACAGCCCTGCATGACCTAGTCAATCGAATCTTTAAGTGTAGACCAGGCCTTACTCCTCTCTTTTTAGAAGTGTGTTAAACAAGGCCACGCTTCCAATCAGTATCTTCATCAGTTTGTAACAGTACAGGCAGAGTAGTCCCTTACAGAGCAATTGCACTGTGGGATAGCTATGATCAAATAGTCTCTTTGTTGCTTTCTTAAAGGGGAACAGGAAGATTACACAAGTAGAGGGCTCCAGGGGCATGGGGGAGAGGGGGAGGTGAACTTGTTGCTCACCGTCAGATCCTACAGTCTGATCAAAAGTAGCATTAACTGAGGTCAGTTTTGCACTCTAAAGCGGGAGGGTTAATCCTGGCGAGTAGAAGCTTTTATGTAAGATATATGTGACCACACTCCACTTTACCAAAATGAAAATTGCGTAACAAGAAAACTATGACAGCTGCGTCGTGGAAGACTAAGGCAATCGTCGCGTGCATCTTGCACTTCCTGCTTTCATGCTAACTCCAGCTGTTGCACGTTTACAAAAGCTTCTGCATTTGAAGAGAGTTATTCTCTGCTTCTGCTTGCTGGACTTAAAAAAATTCCCCTCCTATCTGAGCAAGGAGGCGCCCCAGATCCAACACCGCGCAGGGTAAATCTGCCTGTGGCTCCCATCCACTTTATCTGTAGATTATTTTAAGCCAAGAGACTAGAAATATGTGTGTGTGGTGTGCAGGCGGAACTGGTCCAGTGTTTATTAGCCAATCATAAACTGTAGTAATTCAGTGAGTTGAACTAGGATTCTTTGTGCACTGGGACTTAGACCCCATCTTGTACTTAAGCATCTGCTGAATTCCAAGCATGTGAGTAATTCCACTAACTTTGAGGGGACTGCTCGCATGCTTGAAAGAGCAAGTAGCACCTCAGCGCTTTGCAGAACTGAGCCCATAGTAGCTGTCTCCTCGCGAGGGTGGGGTGTCCATGCCACCTGCTGGTAGGACATTGTTCCCCTGGTCTGAAATATGATCTTGGTTTCAGGCTGTCTTCAGCGAGTGTTTAAATTCCCGATTGCTCTCTTTCTATCCCTCCCTTTTTTTTATTCCCGGTTGTTGCTAATTCGGGAACATATTGTGGTAGAGATAAGGCAGGGGCCTTCCTCTTGCTGCTCTTGGTCAGTATTTTAAGCCTTGTTGCTATGCCTGTGTAGATAAGGGCTGGTAAATATGGGCTTGCTTGTAGCAGTCCCCAAGTACTCACTGTCACTCCAGGTGAGTTTTTCCTCACTGCAGTGTCCGCCTTGTGACAGCCACCATGACTGCATTAGCACAGCCAGCTCCATGATGATGAAACGCTTCATGCTAGGATCCTATTCATTTCCATAACAGCCACTGCCTGGCTGAGGGTAGGGAAGAAGTAGGTGCTGTTTCATTGGTCACAGGTGTCTAGGTTTCGAGTTAATTGAGAAACAAAAAGCTCATCCTTATAAGTGAGGATGTATCAAGTTTCCCGTTGGGCAGTCAATTAACATCTCTGTGCCTCAGGGATAACCACAGATGTACCTAGTGTGAGGATTACTTCCCTGATGTCTGGAATGTTGTTGTAGTCATGTTGGTCCCAGGATATGAGAGAGACAAGGTGGGTGAGGTAATATCTTCTATTGGATAAAAATACCCTGTTACCTGTGGGCGAATACTTTTCGCAGAGTGTTCACTCCATATCTGACTTATCAGCCCTGGTCCTCCAAGGAAACCTTCACAACACCTTCAGTGTAAACCCCTTATGCTTAACAATCTGTCCCACCTTGTATTTAGTTGTAACATTCTGGTTACCTTTTCCAGACCTGAAGAAGAGCTCTGTGAATCTCGAAAGCTTGTCTCTTTCACCAACAAAAGTTGGTCCAGTAAAAAATATTGCCTCACCCGCTTTGTCTCTCTAATGTCTGTAAAACACTTGGAGATCTTCTGTGGGAGGGTGCACCAGATCTATGAAAGTTTATTATATTAAACTGATACTACACTAGGGCTTAGTTGTCCCAATTCCTTTGTTACAAGATGCAAAGTTTTGCTTCTACCATGTGCATTGTGGCAGCCAAATGGAAAGGCTGGGCACTTCAGTCTAAATATAACTTTTATTCTTTGTGTGTGGCTAGCTTATAGCAGTGGAGCATTATTATTATTTAACTTTTAATGGCCCTGGTCAAGTTAGGTCCAACATTTTTAATTCTCTTAAAAACCAAACCATCCCCATTAGCTATAAAAATGCATTTTATTTTTGCACAATTGAAATGCTGCGGTATTGTTTTTTCTTAATCTAAACATTCCTCTGCATTGTTGGCAGCTTCCAGAATTGTTCCAAAGTATGAGAATGAACTCAGATGCAAAATGGACGAATCTAATTGAGTGAAGAACAAAAAGCTAAACAACACAAGTGGTGAAAAGCAAACTAGTTGATTTTGTGTGTGTGTATTTGTGTGTGTGTGTACACACACATATACACACAGAGGATATTGTTAATAATCTAGGGTGCTCTTAGTAATTTAGCTAAGGGATTCTTTTAAATATTTTTCCTCTTTTCATTGCCCCTTTTTACAGAAGTGTCAGCAAGTGTTAAAAAAGCACCATATTCAAAGCTTTGTAACTCAGCCCACCTTAGCTGAACTCTGGCACTGTAGATATGTATGTAGTCCATTTGGCTGTTTCAATCATAGTAGTAAAAATGCAAAATGCGAGTAGAAGATTTGTTTACACTCTCTTAACTCAGAATGGGCTTGTTTTAATTCTCTTAAAGGTGATCAGTTCATATTGTGGCATAATTGCTTTCCGTTTTAAAAATTAAACCCCTTTTAACTAACGGATTACTGAGAAAGGGGAGTAGTTTTTCTTCTCCTTTCCTACCCTTAATTACAAATGTCGGGCCCAATGCTGCAGACTTTATACACATGTAACTTCCTTTTGAAGTTCCCTGGACTATAAACCAAATTTACACAGTGGCTGCAGTGTTGAAAGGGTATTTATTTGCACTTGTTAACTTTAGTGGTACAGTTTGCTTGGCTCCAGTTTGCTCCACCACTTGTCACGATGCCATCTCTCAGCTGCTGCACGTATATCCTGAATTAACACTGCCCTCACTGTATATTCTTTCTCTGAAATACATGTGTGAATAAATATACCTTAAACATTTGCTGCCGTTAATATAAACTACACACCGGCCTTCTTTAGTGCAGGGAGCGAGGCATGCTACTCCCATGAATAATAATGGGGATTTGTACATCTGCTTCAGTGCCCCAGGCACTGTACTGAACACTCACCCTGCAATATGCAGAAAAAGCAACACTTTTTCATGGAAGAGAAGGATCTAAATAAAAACCTTTTTTTAAAAAATGATTACTGGCAGGGCAAGCAAACAAAACAATTTGTGTTAGGCTTTTCCCCTCTTGCCTTCATCCTTCAGTGTATGATGGATATTGCACATAGTCTAATTGTTTTCCTCTTTGGCAGTTTTCTTGTCTTTGTAACACTGAGAAAATAAAAGCAGGGAGCATTTGATGCCAACTGTACTTCCAGTCTCTGAGCTCATGTGCCAGCTGAAAGTTCATGTCATGCTGTGCTCTGAGTGGATGGCTCTGTTAAATTTCACGTACTCTGTTACTCATGGTTTTAAAGAAAGTAGAACAGGGAAGGAAAAGCCATACTTGCTTTGGGCTTGATCCTGACGGGTGCTGGTAATGGATATCTCCAGTGATGACAGTAGGAATTGCTAGTGCCCAGCACCACCTCACTGGATTAGGTCATTTATCAAGAGAGCAGGAGACCTTCCTAACCCCGGGGCAGTCTGCATGTGGTCTTTGTGGTTTGCTGCTCTTGGCTCACAAAGAGAGAGCCTGTTGGAATTTTCTGCCAGCCCAGCTGCAATGTTCGCTTTGGGAAAAGTCTGTTTTTGTGTCTTTCTATGGCAAGGATGTCAGAATACTGTTACCTATGTGGCCACATCACAGACCCAGGCAGTGATCATTGCAGAACAACCTAGTCCATCTTATGATCCACTTTCCTCCTCTGCATAGGGTTAGCAGATAGCAACTGTGAAAAATCGGGGTTGGGGGTCATAGGTGCTTATATAAGAAAAAGTCCCCAAAAAAATGGACTGTCCCTTTAAAAACAGGACATCTGGTCACCCTACGGGCTGGTCTACACTAGGGGGGGATCGATCCAAGATATGCAACTTCAGCTACGCGAATAGCGTAGCTGAAGTCGAAGTATCTTGGATCGAATTACCTGGGGTCCAGACGGCGCGGGATCGATGGCCGCGGCTCCCCCGTCGACTGCGCTACCGCCGCTCGCTCTGGTGGAGTTCCGGAGTCGACGGTGAGCGCGTTCGGGGATCGATATATCGCGTCTTAACGAGACGCGATATATCGATCCCGGATAAATCGATTGCTACCCGCCGATATGGCGGGTTGTGAAGACGTACCCTACCTCTGCAGCGTATTCTCATTCACTCCCACCAGCCCGTTCAGAGGGTTAGTGTAGAGAGGGTCATTCCCAGGCCATTCAGCCACAGTGGCTCCTATGTCCTCTTTCACTGTCTTCTCCTGATGCATTTCACACATGAGCAGTTGGCTGGATCTGGATCTTCCTGCCTCTCTGATCAGGGCTTCCCTGGCAGCAGCAGCGATAGCAGCAACAGCTGCAGGCTAGGATCATCAGTGACAGCACAGTAACTGAAGAGAGAAAGGAAGAGTATTGGCTTCTGAAAAGATCTTACAAGAATAAAAACAGACCAACTTTGCAGTGCCTTGAAGAGGCAGAATTTCCTGGAAGCTCTGCTGTAAATGTTGGATTTATTTCTGGGCAGGTGGAGATAGTACGTTATGGCAAAAAACCCAACAATGTTGGCTTATCAGTATGTGAGCAAATAACCTTAAAGCTATAGAATAACATTTATAATTACATTATACAGCACATTTAATTCCAAAGGATCTTAAAATACTTTCCAGACTGTGGGTCCCGTGATGCAGTAATTGCACATGAAAAATTCCCATTGCCATTCCTGGAAGTTATATGCTCATAAGGCCTGGGGCATCAGGCCTAATGGGAATCCCTCCACCCCTCTTAGGACAGCCTCCTCTGGAGTGAAATGCATCAGCTGTGTAGTGTTGTGTGGCTTTAAAGGGTGGAAAGTGAAGAACGGTGTCCATTCAGATGAAATTACAGGGGGAATCTTAAGGTATGCAGGGAACAGTTACCAGAGCTGGGATTTGTCTGTGAAGTCAGTGTTCTCATCCCATCTCTTAAGAAAAGTGACTTTAATGCCAAGAAAAAGAACAAGAGTACTTGTGGCACCTTAGAGACTAACAAATTTATTTGAGCATAAGCTTTCGTAGGCTACAGCCCACTTCATCAGATGCATAGAATGGAACATAATGATAACAGGTATTCAGAACTTTGGGGGTTTTTTTTCTTCCAAACTGGTAAACTAGTAGGCGCTTATATTTTTGTTCGTCATAGAATTTAAGGCTAGAAGGGACTCTCAGATCATCTAGTCTGACCCCCTGTATTTCACGGGCCACCATCACCACCCAGCCACTATCTGTCCAAACTATATATAGTGTCAAATATAGGGTTCCCTTTAAAAACAAAGAGCTGAACTGCCAGGATCCTGTTAGGGATGATGGTCAAGATGGGGATGGGATTAATACCTTTCTCTGGAAGAGATAAGGGTGATGCGTTAAGTGTTACATAACACCCATTGTGTTTGTTCCTTTAAGTGTAATCCATTGACAGGCTGCCAGGGAACCAGACCCAGTGGGGAAACCAGTTGTGTCTATGAGAAGCAGATATACCTGCTTCCAAATTCCAGCTGAGGGAGGGATCCCTTTGTGGACACCGCCGTTCCCCATGGCATTCAAACTGCGAGCAAACGCCCCCCTTTCCCTTTCACTCAAGGGTTCCTGCCTTTCCTCTTCCTACTTTTCCACTGTTTAAAAAAACTTTCTCCATCTGACCGGACAGCTGTTTATTCCCCCTCCTCCAACACCAGTTACTCCATGACAGGGTGACTCCATGAGCTAACCTCTTCAAGGGGGAGGCACTCTTTCTGTTCACACCAGGAAAAGAAATGTGTCCACTAAAGTGTGCCAGTTTCTAGGAAGCAGCAGTAATGGGGGCAATCCCAGACTTGAGTGTCTTGTCTGGTGGCACGATACACTAATACCATTCTTCACAAACGCTCTCCTTCTACTCCTCAAAACATTTACACATGATGTGACTCTGGGATTTACTCACAGCGATAGCAAGCGTGCTTCCCTCCAGATCAATGTTCAGGGGCGATGGTATGGGGAAAGCTTGCACTGCTGCTCCCCATGCTATATGTTCTGTACATAAACAGGAATGAATTCTTCAGGGCCATTGGTCTGGTCCTATCCTGAGTGCTAAAATTCACTTCCATCAGAATGGATTTGTGGGAGAAAATAAGCTAGAGAATCACATTCTTTAGAACAGCTGCAGAACACACCTGCTTTCAGCAAAGTCCTCAGCACAGCCTGCCAGCCTACGAGATCCGAGAGGTTCAGGCAACAACGAGCACATAGGATCCTAGCACTCTTCCATGTACTTACCGATAAAGAAGAGGATAATACAAAATGACACTATCTCCACAGGTTCAGCCTGGGGCAGCTTCTGGAGCTTAAGCAGGAACTTCTCACCAATGGTCTGTATTTCCTTCAGAAAGCCTTCAGAAGACATCCTGGCCAGCACTGTCCAAGTGTGTTATACTGGAGAAAAGCCAAAGAAAGAAAGAGAGAGTGCGCATGAAGCTTTTTACTGTCAATATTATTAACACTAGGGAAACAGCCAGCCTTCTTTAGGGAGCTAATTTGGGATCACAAGTAAAACACGTTTATCCGGTCTCAGCCCTTGCTCCCAATAGCTAAGGAGGAGGGATTTTAACTATCTGCATATCCTGACATTGCTTTTATTCAAATCTGGAGCTAGCTGACACTCTGGCTTTGTATCAGATCAGTTTGTGGGTATACTCTCCATCTGGGCTCTGCTTCACCGCTTTTAAAAAGCCAAATGATTTTGCACAGTTGGGCAAGGACAAAAATATGGTGTTCCCTCTCAGCCTGCTATGTATGGGATGACATTAAAGCTGGCTGATTTCCACAAAGGGAAAAATTAGTTGTTGCTTTTCAACTGTCCAAGCTCATGTTCTCCCAGAAAATAAGCTGACTTTCACTTGCTAACCTGAGAATGTGTGTCCCAAATCATTCCCACGATGCTGCATTCTGTATACAAAATTGTCTTCCCCTGTGTAACGCAACACACGCTCCCTTTTAAGGTTTCTTGTAGCTCCAGCAGCAGCAAGCCACCTTGTGAGTGCTTCCATTATCATAGCACCCTTGTGTAATACTCATGTCACATTTCTGGTTTCTAGGGCTGGTGGTGTATGGTGATATTGTGAATTTTGACTGATCCACATCTATTTAGGAGACATGAATGCTTTAAGTTTATACAGCTGACTGTGACTTTTGTACCCGGTAAGATAAATATAGATCTGTTTGACCACACATTTGTAGTAATGTAGTGACATATAATCTGACTAGGGGATTTAGACTTCCACGCATTGTGTATATGGGGGGGTGGGGGGGGAAGGGGAGGAAGGGAGAACAAATGCCACGGAGATCTTTGACTTTAGAGCCTAGTGTAGATCCTCTGTGAGCTGAGGGGTGAAAACATTATCTATGATCCTTACTCTCTTTCTACTGTATTCCTCTTGTAATTCCATCAAGTATGAAAAGGCAATTTATTGTCAGGAGCTGAAAATACTGTGGATAAAGTTATATTTATATAGGGCAACATTTTCAAAGCTACCACTTCAATTGTATCCATAATATTTGCAAGCCTGCTCTTTTGGGGGAGCAAAAATTTCTTGTGTCTACAAATGGATGAGCTTGCAATGTTACTGGAGAGTGATGTAGGATGCTGTTTTTAAGAGCTTGCCTATGCTGAGAATGTAATTTGGATTAAGGGAGGGCGTGAATTTAAAGCAGAATAACTATTCCCAATTAACTGTTTGCATGGATGCTCCTTATTCCAGAATGAGAGTGTCTTATTCTGAATTAGGATAATCCACTTTTCAAAGCAGGTTGGCTTGTCTACATAAACATTTAGTTCACGGCAGGCTAAGGTGTAAACTACACCGCACTAGCCTGCCGTGCTATAGGAGTCTGTGTAGCCTCTGCTGATGTGCACTAACCGTTCCTTAATGCGCTTTGATCTACTCCCAGAGTATATCAAAGCACAATAGGGAACAGTTAGTGTGCTTAGTAGGGTTCACGCAGACACTTAGTGCACAACAGGTTAATGTGGGGTAGATTTACATCCTAGCAGCTGCAAGCCAAATGTTTGTGTAGACAACCCTAAGCTAAACAGGAACAAGTCACTTTAGTCTGGAATAAGAGCATCAGAGCATCCACGCAGGAAGCTAATTGGGAATAGTTATTCCAGAATAGTTTTTCCAGATTAACTCCCCATGTAGACAAACCCTGAAAGGTGTCCAACTGCATTAATGTTGTAGCATGTATAGCAGGAGTAGGCAACCTATGGCACGCATGCTGAAGGCGGCACACGAGCTGATTTTCAGTGGCACTCACACTGCCCGGGTCCTGGCCACCGATCCAGGGGGCTCTGCATTTTAATTTAATTTTAAATGAAGCTTCTTAAACATTTTGAAACCTTATTTACTTTACATACAACAATAATTTAGTTATATATTATAGACTTAGAGAGCGAGACCTTCTAAAAAGGTTAAAATGTATTACTGGCACGCGAAACCTTAAATTAAGAGTGAATAAATGAAGACTCGGCACACCACTTCTGAAAGGTTGCCGACTCCTGATGTATAGTATGAACAAAACTGAGTTTAGGTTTTCCCATCATCAGTTCTTCAAGCCATTGTGCCTACTAGTAGCGTAGGCTGCTTAGAAGCATGCAGCCTGTTAGACGCATGCAGAACATGGTGCACGCCTGGTGTGTGCTTGGACCCCCGACTGAGTTAAGGTTCTCATGCCATTGTTCAATTGAAATTTCCTGACTTGTTTAAATTATATTAGTTGACAGTATTTTATGGGAGTCCTTCATGTTGCAGTTAATTTCTGCCTTTAGTGGTGACATAAAGCAAACAGAGATACAGAAAATGCATCATAAATAAGCCAACCAATTCTCTGCTGCACTTTCTGCTTTGGTTTGCTCAGTGGATGCTCTGGGTTCAGCCTTCAGTACATTTAGAACAATTACTTGGGGAGAGATCTTGCTTGGCTCTTTCTTTGCAGGCTGGGTTTAAATACTATACTGCCAAGTAAAACTGTATATTTTGAATGTGGATGCAATCCAGAGATTTGTTCTTTTAAAAACAAGGCTACAGAGTTTATGGGGAGGGAAGAGTCAGAATCAGATGGGTTCTTAGGGGCTGGGGGAAAAAGGCCAGGTCCAGTAGGAAGAGTGCTGCCAGGTGCAGTGAAGCACAGTTGTGGCCTTATGACCTGAAATGATGTAGCCTGATCAATGCAGGGCCGGTGCTACCATTAAGGCAAACTAGGCGGTTGCCTAGGGCGCCAAGATTTGGGGGCGCCAAAAAGCGGTGCCCCCATTTTTTTTTTTTTAACAGCGTTCCTGGGCTGGGCACGTGCGGCTCAGCTGTTTGGCACCGCAAGCCTGGGGGGAGGAGAATTAGAGCCTGGGCGGCATGCTCGGGGAAGAGGCGGAGCAGAGGTGAGCTGGGGTGGGGAGCTGCCGTGGGGGGGGCGCCTCAGGGCAAGGGGGGGGTGTGCCTCAGGGCGGGGGGGGGGGGGGGGGAACTGCCGCGGGGGGGGGGGGGGGGCGCGCAAGATGGAAGTGCCGCCTAGGGCGTGAAACTTCCTTGCACCGGCCCTGGATCAATGTAATTAATAAATAATCTATAGATTACTTAAGAGTTCCCAATTATCACTTTGAGGGTTGACGGGTTCTTGTCCCAAGATCAGGCCCAGTATTATTCAAATTATTATATAGTTAGGAAACCTGATGTCCACAGTTTCAACACTCACACTATAGGAACTCTTCTATATTTACCAATCATTGTATTAACATTTAGCACAGTCACAAACACTCCAGCCCAGTAAGGTAGATAGAGATACTACAGAATGTACCTCTGAACATCCATATACTGTACTTACACCATCCCTCCCTTGCAGACCAACCTGAAATGTTAGTAATCATCTTCCTCATTACCTTGCCCTACATCAACAGTGGCCATCATTCTGGCACCTCCCAGGGGCTACATCTATTTCTCCTACTGCTCATAGGCTAGGATGCAACTTTTATAATATGTTACGCTGACACCACTATGTCTGATGCTTATTCAGTAGGAGTTTCTCCCCTCTTCCTTATTTGTATTTCCTTACCTTGCTAACATTGGGTGTCCTTCTCCTATAGGTTAGTATATCAGTGATCTCAACTTATTATCATACACGTCAATTTGTTGCCTTGGCACCCTTGTGGTTCAGTATGCGCGGTAGCTTATGTACCAGTTGTTATCATGTACATCGATTCATCGCTATGACACTCTTGTGTGGGATTTCCCCTTAAACGCTCTATTTTTCAGCTCCCCAATACTTTGGGTTTTCAATTGGACCATTTACCTGTGCCAGAGTCCATAGGCCTCAAGCCTGATGCTAACTGCAGAAGCTAATGTCTTATAGGATACAGGCCTGTAGGTTCCTTGCATTACTGCTGAATATAATAAAGGCAGAATGAAGGCAAAGCTGTGAATATAATAAAGGTAAGCTAGCCCTATAGGCTGTAGTGGCCATTGCACAAACCAGGGTTAAATATTTCTCTCCACGATTGATCTCCATGCCCAAAGTGAACTGTTCCACGAATGGCTTTTCTTCCACCTCGCACACTTTTATAGGATTCTATGTCTCAGTTTGATTTCCAGTCAAACAAATGGAAGGTGTGAGGAGAGGCAAAACAGTCTGTGCTTTCTGATCTTGGCTTCAGAGGTAAAACATTTTGGTTTGTCCCTCCTGACGGTGTCTTTCTGCCCGGAAGCTCCCACAGCAAACAGTCTGTCAGAAATGTTTTTGTGCCGTGCTCTGGGCTGGGGAGAGAGTTGCTAGTATGATATGAGCTAGGCCTCCAGAGTTTTGGTGTGAAGTGTAGAACTGTTGCTGTAGCGTGGGTGTGACACTGTATGGGTTAATATAGGGTTCAATCTATATAGGTTGACCAGGATCCTGGCTTGACTTTCTTTCCTCCGTTATGGGTGTTCTGTTGGTCAGGCTACCTAACACCATCGTGGGTGAAGGAGTCTGATGTTTAAAAGTTGCAAGGAATGTTGCTTGTTTATCTTGGTTTGAACACCTTGTAGGGAGAAAGCTTGAACTGCAGTATCTGGCTGCCAACAAGGGAGTAAATACCTTTCCACTCTACTAACCAAGATGCCAGCTCCAGAAACTCACAGCATTTCAGGATTTATAATCGCGGGACCAAACAACTTTGCAGAATTCACTCTTCCACTTATTCTCCTCCCTGCCTCTGCTCCCCATCCCCCCCAAAAAACTGTGTCTGTCGTCTTCCATTCTACCAATTATATAAATTGCTCAGAACTAACCTTGGACTTGATCTTACTCCCACCGAAACCAGTGGTAAAACTCCCATTGGCTTCAGTGGGGCCAGGATTTTTCCCTAAAGATTAGCACATGGGGAAGGACTGGGTTCTATTCCTAGCTCT